GAATAACCTAATGGTCAAATTCGGATGTAATAAGCCCTTGGCCGAGTATATTGAAGAGCCCCACCAAATTTTGGATATGAAATAACTATAAACATATGATATATCTAAAAACATGATGTTCATAATTGTGGTACTCAAAAATGAAAGAGAAAAGAATAAAAATTCATTTGACTGTTATCTTTAAGGAGTTTCTGCTTCTCCCTCCATTGAATAAATGTTGATGAACCACTCCCTATGAATGATTGACATTTTTCTCTAACGAGAGTGGACTCACAAAATGATATGTAGGGCCATAATGGTGAAGAACAACCATCATCATAGATTATACCCAAGAAAGTTATGGAATTGTCCCAAAATAGAAAACGAACTGGCCTCAATGGGGAAAATGAAATGATTCGGTCATTCACAGTGGTAGTTAGGAATTTCCTCTGCCTCAGTAGATATATGTTAGAACGGTTTCGCGTGAAAGTCTATAAAATGTTTAATATAAACACCAATATAGTTAAGGATAAGTAGTGGTGGTGCTTTTGTTAAGAACCTTAGTTTGAATAACTTCTGCTAGATTTCCTGTTTATGATTTGTTCTATGTTATATCTACCTTTATTGTACTTTTGTGATCACTTGTTTTCATAAGTCAAATAACGATTATTTTTTAAGTATTGAAGTTGTGCTCGTCCGTGAAAGCTTATGAGGCAAGTCCATTTTATTGTGAAACTTTCGTTTTTAAAGGCTAAATGCTTTTCAAACCTTAGCAACGTAGTTTAAATTCTATTTTCCATAATGAGTTTACATAAAACTCACCCCAAATCTGTGCCCCCTCCAGATGATTAGAATGATGATGCGTTTGATGTATTGCCCCTTGAAATGGATCCCTTTTCAGATCCTTAAGATAGTTGTGAGTGCTTTTTAACACTTATGCTCTGATCACTCTTTTGTAAACATTTAGATGACTCCATTTTGTATAATCACAATTTGATAGTCAACCCTTGGCCTCAGGTGTAAAGTGAACCTGGATATTTTGTGTAAAGAAATTTTATTTTTTCTTCTTTAATGTTAATTTAGTTTTTTTTAGCACTCATGTTTGCCTCTATTATCTGGCTCCCTCTTACCATTAGGTGTTTGGGATGTCATAGGACTCCTCCTCAACCACAAGTCTTCCTCTTTTCAATGGCTTATTAAAAAGTCCTTTTAGGACTTGAAGAAGTGGCTAAGTGAGGCGAGCATGGGAGAGAAAGCTGAGAGGGAGAGTCCTAATGAGAAGCACAAACACATCAAGCCCAATCTCGAAGGAAATGAGCCTTATCTGTGCGGGTTGAGGTGGAGTTCAAGAAAGGAACTTCTTTCCTTATTTTTATCACATATCTCTTATTGTTTTTCAGCTCAAGAAGGAATAACACCACATTGGATAATTCAAGAGAAGGCTTATCCAATTCGGCCATGAGAGAGGGAAGATTATCCAATTGATATTGTAATAATTTTTTTTAATGTTTTTGGATTAGGATAAAATAGAGTTTGGATAGATTTTTTATCTTTGAGTTCGAGTTAAATTAGTGTGATTACCTCAATAATTTCCCACTTGTAGAATTGTAATTACAACTCTTACAAATCAAAATTCTTCAATTAAATTTTTCTATTACCATTTGCTAATAGAATTATGAGTATTGATTCAAGAGATGTTCTTTAGCCATCTTATTGAGCCAATGAATTGAAATGACTTATCGAGTAAGTTGTGAAGTCTTTTTTTTTTTTTTTTTTATTTTCTAGTTACCTTATCATATAATTCTAGTAGAATTATTGGGTTAAGTAGGGAGAGTTTATTTAAATATTTAAGATTTCTACATGCTAATGTTATATGTGAGTTTTGGATTGTATTGTTGATATAGGATTCTGCATCACTAGGGGTATGTGATCTACTATGAATATAAAGAATCTTGTAAGATTTTAAAATCAAGTAAAAAAATCCTATACACATATACAATGACACTAAATTAGTCATAAGCATTGCTCACAATCCGGTACAACACAATAAGATGAAACACATTGAGATTGATAGATATTTTATTTAAAAGAACTTTATAGAAACTTAATATATACTTGACACATGCCCACTAATTCTCAACTAGAAAACGTGTTGATTGAAGTTGTTACCTAGCCGACGTTCCAAGCTCTTATCAGAAAGTTGAGAATGGACATTTATTTTCAACTTGAGGGGAGTGTTAAGAAGAAAGAAAATAATGCTACTAAATAGGAAATACATCAAGGTTCTAAATATGAATAAAAATTATAGAATTAAAGAAAAAGTAAATCAAGATACTAAAAATAAAAGAAATCAATGTATTAAAAATGAAGAAAATCAGAAAATAAATCAAGATAATAGAAAGGAAGGAAATCAAATTAAAGGTCAAATAATATCATTTATAATTAATGGTAATTAATTGCTCATTGCATGTAATATAATTAATTACAATTAATTACAAATGATATGATTTGACTCTTTAATTTGATTTGTTTAATTTCTTAATTAATTACAATTAATTACAAATATTATGATTTGACCCTTTAATTTAATTTGCTTCCTTTATAATATTTTAATTTATTTCATTTTTTTTCTCTAATACAAAGATTTCTTTCCTCCTTAACACTTTGATTTAATTCATTTTTAATACCTTGATTTACTTTTTCTTTACCATGAAGTATTATTTTCATTTCTATAGGTACCATAAATATAAGACAATTTCCTTCACATTTTGCATCATACTAAAAAGAGAAACATCAACATAAAGTAAAAAATTTGAAGGAAACATGGCTTATCCAAGAATTCTCTCATTTGTTTGCTTACTTCTTATTTTCTGCATGGGTTAGTAGCTTGCATATTTTATATAGTATAATTATTTAATTTGTTTTACTTCTGATTTTTTATCTTAAAAATTTTTTAACCTCCAAGTAAGGACATAAAGTTTTATATTTGTGAAGATTAAAACATATATATACATTGTAACAGCTCAGATCTTAAAAGGAAATAAAGACATGAATTGAATGCGAAAGCGGAATAATAGAGTTAGAGTTTACATTCCTTACACAATAGTTTAAAATACTCAATAGGGCTATGGAAATGTCCCTTCCAAAAGAACAAATGAAAATAAAAAAAGTAAACGAAAAGTTAACAACTAGCATCTTAGGATGACCTTCACTAGCTTTTGAAGGAGTTCGGGTGATGAACTATTCACAACCCTCTTATTGATCGAGATCTGGGTCTTGGTCCTCTTGATCTGAAATAGTTAATGAAGGGGTGAGCTACACTAGTTCAGTAAGAATATCACACTGCTCACCGATATAGAAAATAAAGATTGGTAAAAATTATAAAAACAACTTATAGAGCTCTTAATTTAAGTAAATTCATTTATCATAAGTAAAACCATTTATTGCATACTTACTGTTGTAAGATTTTCAAAACCGACCTATAGAGACAATGACTTAAAAACATCATAATCCATATTCAAGTAAGCAAGAATAACAACTTTTCCTTTTATTTACCTACTGGTATCTATGGGGGTCCATAGGGATGTCTCACTACGCGTGAACCAGCATCCAACCTTGTCAATTAACTGGCCGTCCCATACTCCGTTCGGTATGAGTGCTAAAAATACCATCCCTTAATAACCCGTCCGGTATGAGGGTGAAACGGACCGTCCCCATATCCCGTCCGATATGAACGCCAAAAATACCAATCCTCGATACTCTATCCTGTATGAGGCGACATTTACGATAGGGTTCCCTATGTACTCAGTCTGTCCACCATCTACCAGAATATCCATTAAGGCTACCATTCATTCATTCACTTAACTAATAAATTTTCTATTTACATTTAATTTTCAGTTTCACAATTTAACCGTAAATCGACGCAAGACAAACAATATATGCATCAAGGAAACACAACTGAATCATTTTACCAATTCCAGTATATATCATGCATTTAAAGCTGTAAAATCAAACAATCGGTTAAATAGGACAACAATAATAAATAACCAGTTCTGGCTCCATTAGTAACCTGTAATTAATTCTCGAAACTTTGTAAATTATGCAAAATACTGTATTATTGATAATTAGACTTCAATTCTATAACAGGGAATAAGGTGAGGGATTTTTACCTGAATTAGTATTTGAAACA